TTAAAATTTTAGTATTCGTATTTAAGCAAGCAACAAATTATACATAATTATATTTACAATAAATGTGTAAGGAATGGTCTTTACGTGTCTAAATCTAAGCCCCAACCCAATCCCACTTCGAGTCTACTTTCAGTTATCGCTCCATTGTGGCCACTGCTGCACGAGGGCGTACAACGCATCCCCGGGACTCTTTGTGGCGCTCACCTGGCGGTGGCCCAGCAGCTGATAGTTCTCCACCAACTGGCCCAGCCCCACAGCCTGCTCGAGGAGCGACTGTCCAGCCGCCAGAGCAGCATCGGCTGGCGGCTGCTGGTCAAAGTTTCCCAGGAACGCAATGCCAAGGGAACCCTCATTGTTAGCGCCAGCAAATGCTCCACGCAGGCTGGTGCTTCGACCCTCGTAGACGCGTCCATTACCCCCTATCAAGTAATGGTATCCAATGTCCGAGAACTTCTGCCGTGTCATTTGATACTGCTGCAGATTCCGCACCAGATTCGCACAGCTCTGATCATCGATGCAGCCACCGCCACCAGTGTGTGCAATCACGGCACGGGCCAGAGGCGTCTCCATGCTGTCCATTTCCCCACTGGCAGGTCGGGCATTCCATTCGGATCGCGTTACCAGCGTTATGTCGGCAGCGACAGCTGTGAGCGCCACAGCAAGTAGCACGAGGAGCAAGTAGCGCGTTGCGTTCATTCTGGCACTGTGGCTGTCGAACGACTGGGAGTGGGATCTGGCTATGGAGACGCTCTTATTGGTCGCTGATAAACCGTGTGCCCCTAGGGCGATAGCTTTTTACCCTCTCAACAAGCGATATTCATATACGGGCACGTATTTCGAGCACGATTCGAGGCGATTTCCCCGCGAGAGCTGACCAAAGAGTCTGCTTAGATTCGAATTTATGGATAGCATGACGCACGTCACAGATGTGACAGGTAGCAAGGGGTGCAGGGGATTTACCTCACTGATATGTTGATTGATGTCACTGATTCCCATAGAGGCAAATGTTCCACTTGTTAGACGAAACTCTTGTAGCAGCCCCTGCTGGTCAAGTGTCTGTCGCTGTAACTGTGATTACTGGGGCTGTGGGGATCACATCACACATATTAAAGTGGGTTATTCATGAGGGCGTTCCCCAACCAAAGCCTTCACTCCTAACTCTTCCGTTTGGCCTGCCGCTCCATGCGAAGAAAACCCCCAACTTGACACAGATGTTCAGCGCAGTTATTTAATTAAAAAACTTTCGTAATTAAATGCAAAAACAGCACAAAAATGGCAGAATGCGTGGAATAATCCTGCGCCTGCGGTTGGTGGGTTTTAGGCGAGTGAAATCGTAAAGTGACAATGAAAATGCAAGTAAGCGGCCCTCAATTAAACGCCAAAATGTAACTATAAAATGCCATAAAAAAAGAGGCCAAAGGCAACAGCAGTGGCGAAACCGCAAAGCAGACAAAAAGCCAAAACCGAAACGGGAGAATAAAATTCTACTTCGACTGGGACTGGGGAGTATAAAGCGCTGGGAAATAGTTGCTACAGTTTGGGGCTGCTGGCTGTTAACTTGAATTTAAACGAGTTTCAACTGCCACGAGGACTCTGCCATTGCCACTGCCACTGCCACTGCCACCTTTTATTCCTCTCTCTCCCATTGGGGCTTGTTGGATGGTTATTCGAACAGTTTTCCTGCTCGAAACTAGGCTAATGCCAACGCCCTACGCCCACCCACCGAACATCGAGGCGGGAAAAACATATTTTTTCCTGGCTGCAGGGCTGCGTGTCCTGTGGATGCACCCACTGCCACGCAGCAGACAGCACGGCAGTCCACGGCGCCAGGCTGGCTCATTTGCAAAAATTGTCAGATTTATTTCGCTAATTGCTGCTCATCCGTTTAATTAAAATTAAAAGAACTTGCACAAGTTAAGGGCGAAAGTTTTTATGCGAATTCTCTGGAATCTCGCATTGGGCACGTTTAGAGCAGAGCACACCTCGTCTATGCTCTCCCCTCTCAGAGCAACCTTCTCCTATTGTTGTTACTACAATGCCATCTATTAAATTGCTGTGCAAAGTTGGCGAACGCCGACGAGCACCTGGCAACAAGCAACTTGCCCAACCCAGAGGAGGATGGTGGCGCTGATGATGATGATGTTGCTGATGGTGGCAAGCGGCAAGCGGCAAGCGCCCCGGGTAGGCTTTCAACTCTGGACAGGCAACAAATTAAGCTGCAAGTCTTGCAGGCTCCGTTAAAGCTGTCACATTTCACCCCCCAAAAGGTGTCAATCGGGAGAGACCCCGAAAAGTTGTGGCGTACAAGAGGAAGCATGAATGCAACAACTATTTGGGGTAGGGGTGTGGGGTGGTACTCCCCCGCAACTACAATTTGCACGCAATGCTGCAACATCTGGTGTTGCACCTCCAACGACTCCTCGTCCTCCTCCTCCTCCTCCGACACTGACGACCGGAAAGAGCAAAAGTTGCCTGCAACCACACTGTGGATTCGGATTTTGGGCAAGTTTTGGCAGTGCGGATTGCGGATTGACACCAGCCATGCAAGGGAGAGTGTCGATGGGGGCGACATTTTTATGACAACTTGCTTAAATTTCATAACAGAACTCCCGCAGCAGAAAAGGGAAAACTTATTTCGTTTACGAGTCGCAAAACTTGTCTCTGCCTCTGTATGCTGTGTGCTGTGTGTGTGTGTGTGTGTGTGTGTGCGAATATTTTCTTAGGGTGTGAGCGGTGTGGGTGGTGTGCCATCGATGTCGATGTCGCTAATGAATAAAGTTCGCTTGTGAATGAATATCCACGGCAAGCAGTTGCACGGGCTTTGAGACTGAGGAGCCGGTAGACTGGTAGGAGCCAGATGCAACTGCAAATATCGGAGAAAGACTTTTCCATCGATTCAAATTGCAGAATAAGTGTGTTAAAAGAACGAAGATAACTGCACTTACTTCGACGATCAGCGCTTCGAACTGCAGCAGCAGCAGCAGAAGCCAAAAGCTCGGATCAGCCGCAAGAGCAAAAGCTCGAGAGAGAGAGAGAGAGAGAGTTCAAATAGCGAAACAAGAGAAACAGTTAAATGCCGCTCTGCTCCGAAGAGTAGTCTTGAGATCTGGAATGCTGAGTTCTGATATGGATTTCTGTGGAGTTTCTGTTTTGTATTCTGGCAAATCCTGCTGCTCTGACGCTTGCACTTTAAGGACTGCACTCCCCCATTGAGTTTCCTGTAAGTTGCTGTAATATTTTTAATATGCAACGAAAAATATGCGCAACAATATGGCGGCAGTATTAAAGCCAAATGATGTGCGTAACACAGCAAGCTTCATCGTATTCATGGGTGGCTGGCACATTGACATTTTAGAGGCGTCCTGCATTGGCATCAGCTTCTGCCGCAGCTTTGGCTCTAGCTGTAGGTCCCCCTCCCGCTCCACCTCCTGCAGACATCTTGTCAGAAATTTTCATGCTGCTGTAAGCTGTTTTCATGCACATTTTTGGAGCACTTGTGCTCGGCACAAACACTTCAATTTGGCTTCAAGGATGCGTGCATGCGGGCAGCAGCCATGAATGGATACAGAGCCATGGCCATGGCCATGCCCAGATCCAGCTGCAGAGTCAGAGTCAGAGTGTGGCAAGCAGCAAGCAGCAAGCAGCAGCGTATGGCTAGGATATGGCAAGAGGCAGCCCAGTCAAAGTGCCGGAAGGAAGTGCGCTGTGACGTTGCAGGGGGGGGTGGACGGTGGGATATGACTGTGCGAGAGGATGGCTATGCTATCCTGGGATATGGCGTCAAACAACATGCAACTCTTAAACTATAACTTTTGATATATGCCGAGGAAATAGTGTGGGGAGTGCACTCAATCGTGGTTGCCCAGGCATCAGCAGAGCCATCAGCCAGGAGCAGCAGCCAGAAGCAGAAGGAGCAGCAGCAGCCCCATCAACTACTTAGCGTCAAAACGCTTAAAGTTGAATTTGTAACGCTTCAAGTGTGGCAGCGGCACAAAGCCAATGGAGAGTGTTGGGGGAGACAGGGGAGAGACCTGTCTAATGCCAGTTTACTCATCTATTTTTATTAAATCGCCACGGAAACACACACACACACATGCACACACACACACGTGGAGAGCGTGGAGAGCGTGGTGAGTATGGAGCCAACAAATGTAAAGTTACGCAGAGAGAGAGCGAGATGTGGAGAGAGAGGGAGAGTAAGAGAGAGCAGCTTATGAAGGTTTCTCCTTTATATAAATCATTATTATTTAGAGCTCGAGCCGAAATGTTTTCTATAGGCTTCTGGGCAGCTCTACTCCCTACTGCTGGCCAATATTGTGCATTATGAGTGTTAAATGCTATATTTTCATACACCAATTTACAAATACTTTCTTTTGTGTGGGAACTTTCTTTCTTCCTGCAAGCTGGAATGCCTTTCCTTCGTTTGTTAGACGAGAGTCTGTGCCTGCTCTGTTATTGATATATTTGTATTTACACAAAAGGAACTTGGCTTCTCCTGCCTGAAATTACTTTACAGTTTGTTGCAAAACTGCAGAGAGACCCTCTGCTGGTAGCATCCTTAGTTAGTGTGTGGCAAACTGACTTTAGACACTTGGCTGTTACAGCTGCAGAGGCAGAGGCAGAGGCCACTCCCGTTCCCCTCCCCCCACATGGTGCCAGCTTATTTTCGAGGGTTTAATTTTGATTTAAACGCTGGCAGACAGCTGGTAGCCCAGTGCGTGCTGGAGCAGAAGCACAGACATTGACTGGCTCGGACACGAGAGAGCCTCCTCCCAGTAGGGTGGAGATTTCAGTTTGGGCTTCATTGAAATTTAACTTGCACTTGCAGCNCACAGGCGCTGCGGGATGCCATTGAACAGGAAAGACACTTGCAATCGAGGTACGGGGCCAATGAAGGGCACTCGCTTTAAGGCAATCTTTCCACACAGACAGATCGAAGGGGGCGGGCCTCCTACCGTCAGCCATTTAATTTTCATTAGATTAAGGTAAGCATCGTTCGTACCAACCATCAATGGTGGAAGGACAACAGCAGCGAGCATTTATCTGCTCCTAGCTGGGATCTGTGTCCTCCTGCTGCTGCTGCTCCTATTGCTGTTTGCTGTTTCCTTCTCGTAAATGCAAAAGTTGCAACTTGTAGCCTCAAAATAACCACAAAGTAAACACCAGAGTGGCAGTGGCTGTGGCGCCAAGGAGTGCAGTGGCATGGAGCACTGCGTACTGGCTGCTGTCGGGCTAAGAGGTATTGGAATGGCCGGCCAAAGTCATTGCACGTGCGGGGGAGTACCCGGACTCGCTTCAGTGTCCTTGTCGATGTCTTTGGCGGAGCAGCAGCAGCAGCAGGAGCTTCAGGCTTGGTTCCTGGACGGGTCCAAACTAAATAAGTGTGTAATTTAATATTTGAGGTTTTGTCAGTAATTATTTCATCACAGATGGCGAAACTTTTGCTTTGTCATCCGTCGCCTTGGAAACAGCTCCAACCGGAGATGGAGTGGAGCGGAGTGCCAGCTGCTGGGATCTGGGCTCTGGAGCCTTGCAGCTCAAAGGAAGTTCTACGCTGCTCTCATAACTCTGGGAACGCATCGTTGGCCATTAAATTAACCCACTTGCTTCACATTTGTCTTTATTAAATGTTAAATTACGAGCTGGCACTTGAAGAAGCAAACGGGAACGGGAAAGGGAACGGGAACGCGTATAAATTATAAACCAATTTGATAACCCACACCAGGAGCCAGGGACCGAGGAACAGGGCCAAAATGTGCTCGAAATGAACCACCAATTTGCGGAGTACTTACTCCACACTGCAACAAAATAATGGCTGCGGGAGAGAGCGTGGGTGAACATGAATTATGCTGCACGAATTGGGTGAAATGTCTGATGTGTTCGGGTGGGGTGGAGGCTGCTGTTTCACCTGTGGGAGCAGCCCCGTTCCCTTTTATTTCCACTGATGCATTCCTGCAGTTTGGTCTGCACATTCATGCGCATAGTGGAAGCGTGTAATTATTTCAGCATTTAGTTGAATATTCAAATGATTTATTGCACCTCTCGTATTCAGGGGCCACAAACTGACATTACCTGAGTACTACTAAATCAACAATTACAGAGTCAAAGGCTACTACATCCTCCCCCTAGCTACACTTTTCTGCATAGGAGACGACCAATGACTCGTTAGCATAATAAAATAAATAAATAATACACCAAAAATGTGCACTTGACGTGGGGTAACATTTATTGGTCACTTCAACGTATGACACTGTGGATCCCGAACAGAAAGGGAAGGGGCGCGACTTTCCAAGCTCTCGAGTAACATATTGCGTGAAGCTTTCTGCTCAGCTGCATGGAGCGTATGAGTGTGTGTGTGTGTGTGTGTGTGCGTGTGTGCGTGCGTTTGCTTGGAGGTTTCGCCCCATCTCTTGTGTGCTTTTACTTTGGTTTTGTTTTGTTGTGTTCCCTACTCCTCGTCCCCCTCGTCTTAGCAGGTCTTCTTGCGCTTTACGGAACGGGACTTGCGGCGACTAGTGCCGCAGCTCTTCTTCGACTTTTTGGACTTCTTGCGTTTGCTCTTCTTGCAAGCGGACTTATTGCGCCGTCGCTTGGCACACGAAGACTTCTTGCGCTTGCGCTTGCCACAGCTGCGGCTGCGCTTGCGCTTGCCCATGGCGCGGCTCTTGGGCTTCATGTCACAATCCCCTGTCTTCACTAAGATATCAGACCCAGGCAAAGTCAAAAAGCCCCTGGACAAACCCACCACGGAAGCAGTGCCGTCATCCTCACCGCTTGAGCTCTCCAGCAATTGCGATCTCTTGGCACTTTTTTGGCGATAGTGGGGCTGTCAGGGAACCAAAACGAGGCTGCTACAAGAACTAACTTTATAAGCACGCACAATGACTCACGTTTCGGTATTGGTTACGCTGAGCCTGATCCATCGAGCGCCACTGCTGGAGTGCAGTGTTCACCAATTTTTGACTGCTGTATATCTTGCCAAATCTACGCTTGCAGTCCTGTACGAAGTTCAGATAACCCAACGCGGATCGTCGGGGCTGTACTGGCGAAGCATGTTCCTGCTGGGCAGAAGTGCTCGGTATGTCGTCACCCGAACAGCTGCATTGCTTGGGTTCGGCCACTGCAATACTGTCACCCGATGCCGCCGATCGGTCGGGGTCTGCATCTGCATCCACCGATGGACTAACAGACAACACACTGGAGGCACAACTCGATATGTCCGACATCTCTGAGAGAGACATCTTTTACGCGAACAAAACAAAACTCACAAATTTTGACAAGAAACAAATTGTTGATGGAAATTCACAAAAAAATATGACTTTTCAATTTTAGCTCGTAAATTTATTATTTATTAGAAGTTGTTTCCCTTACGACTGACTGTATAAAACTGAACTGAGAAACAAACTCAAACTGAGACCAAACAAATTTCACAGGTCATGGACTGCTATGATTTGAAATTTTGTTCTCCTATATGCTAGTTTCAGTATTTGCCTTGGAAAATGCTACTAGATGGATATTTATTTTGTATAGTTTTATATTCTCTGTTCTCTTTGCAATGAATGAAAGTGAATACAGCAGCGGTTGAGATAAAATTAGTTTCTCCACAAATAAATCAAAATATAAGAAAATCAGAATGAAGATGTTACTCTCAAGTGATTAGCACTCAGCTCCAAATCCCCCTCAAGGACTTCGAGCCATTGGGCTTTCCCCTATGTATAAGCTCTCGCAAGTTCGAGCAGAATCACAGTGCAAATCCTACTCAAGCACTTCGAACCAGCTGCCAGCCACGGGCATGTTGGTATAAGTTGCGCAGGTTCGAGCAGAGTCGCTGTGGAACTTATGCATGTTTGAGTGGATACATTGCGAGCCGAGCGTCAGTTCGGTTGCAACTGCAACACGAACCTGTGCCATGGTCCTGGCCAAGTACTAAGCTTAAATGGGGATTCTCTCAACTCAAATGAGGGGAAATGCAGCTCAAATAAGTTGAGTTTTTATTGAGAATTGCATTGCATAATTTGGTAAGCAAATATAATCATTACAGCACTCGGCACTACAACAATAATCCACGAAATTTAATTTATTTATGAAAATCCCAACAATTAGAAACGGTTGCGAGCTACCAATTGGGATCCTGTTAGAGAGATAACTGGTGCTGTGGTAGCAACTTTTGTGGCATTTACTCAACTGTTTTGGGGTCAAGAAGTTCTATTGACAGAACTTCTTGCATGCCTAGTGGCTTGGGTGCTGCTCTGGGCATAGGAATTCGCCTAAAAAGGCTCCTCAGCAGAGCACAGCAAAATTTGAATGAGTCGAGCTATGCTACCTCCCTCTCCTGTCTAGTATTGTCCTGCCAATTCCATGCTATTCGTATTTTGTTTTTGCCATGAATTATTTTTCCGTGTGCCTGGTAGATTTTTCTGGCCAAACAATTGGCAAGCGGCAACAACTAGCACGGAGGCATGGGGCATGCATGTGATGCATGAAATAACAATAATGAAATGACAGCAAAAGGCGGGGGCATAACAAAAGGATGTCCAGATGCGCGTTGGGGGAGCTGGCAGAGGGACATGTCAGCTATGCAGTTGAGCTGTGACCGAGTGCAGCCCAATGAAATTTTGGGCGCTGCATTAAAGCGCTTTCAAGATCTGCAGCAAGCCCACACCCCAGTGGGATGGCGGTTCATCCAGGCGTAGAACAGTAGAACAGCCCCTGACCAGAGCTTCCATTGGTAATTTCATTTCAACAATTAAAGCAACATAAATTAAAAATGTGGTCACGACCAACAGCGACAAATTGCATGGGCACCCCGTGTCGTATGCGTAACTAGAGCCACAGCTACACCCACACACACACACACACACACACACAATGTGCATATGTATTAATTGTATATTTTGACCACATTCAATGGCATCCTGTGACACGAACAAGCCACGCCATCAATTGCAATTAATTCAAGCATATTAATTCGTACTTGAATTACTCGAATGACTCGAATTCGCGTTTTGCCAACTGTTTTTGGTATACAATAATCAAATGTGCATTTAAATATATGTATTTGTGTTTGGAACACCGCAGCGGGGTGGTTGGCTGCATGTCACGCCTCTGCTCATTGTTAATCAATTACAATCTGCGGCATGAGTTTTACATAAACAGTTGACAAAGATTATGCGCCATGGGAGCCACTGCCAACGGCAGTCAGTCGGTTTGAAAGGATTTCCGAAGCTGCAGTTAAATCTGTTCATGTTCCAATTGAACAACTTTACAGTCTTACTTTAAAACATTCATATTATGTACGCGCAGCTTTTTCTAATCAAAACTTTGTTATTTGAATTTATTGTTCGTTTTGCTTAGTCTGGCAGCGCTGCAGCATGGCAAGTCAGGGTAACCACTAAAGGTACATTACGTATGCACGTTTCAGGATATTTGGACTACGCAATTGAGTTCATTGTATAATTACGGTATATCGGTATACAATGGCATATTTAATGCCATCCATTTATAAGGTATATTCAATATAGGGTATCCAAACTTCTATATGTTGTTAATGCATGTTTTTCAATTGTCCCTACGGGAGGGATGTATTTTACCGTTGGCAGCATAAGTTTTATGGGCCAGCAACATGCTGCGAAAAGTGAGCAGCACTGTTCCCCAACATTTGTCACGGAATAAGCAACATTTAGTACCCCTAGTGCGAGGCATATCATGGGATTGAGATTATAGATATCTATGTATATACATAGAAAACATATGTAAAGATCTAAGATAAAGATATGGGGAATTGATTGATTAATCGGATAAAATTATAGTTTTAGCGCGGAGACGCTAACATACATGTGTCTCTACATCTTACATACTGAACCCAAAGCTCTCTTGCTTCCAGAAGCGGTGATTTAAATGAAAAATTCAAGTACAAATTTAAAAAAAAAGTTCAGAAGGTAAACAATCCAACAAAAATGAGTATTTATAATACGCAAACTTGATTCTTCAATCGGATTAAATTATTGTTTCAGTCGTGAAAGTCTTTGCAAGCTACTAAAGTCAAATAGAACATCAAAGTCGAGGAATCTGATTTAAGACCACGGTATATTTTGAAGATGCAATGGTATATTTACGAGGCCCTGATGGTATATTTGATCGATACTTGCGAGGTCACACTGCTGCTCTGCGTGCAACAACAGCTGTTTCTGTGTTATTTAACGTGTTTTATTTAAAAACGAAGAAAACACCCAATTAGGAACACACAAAATGTTCACACTTCGTGCAGCACTGCCCCGTGGCAAAAACGTTGCTGTGGCCCTTGGGAATGCTGTGCGCCACATTCCCCTTGCGCCGAGCTGCCGTTTCAGCGGATCCGCATGGAAAGCAGCGGTGGTGCCGCCACAGCAACAGAATCTACAGTGCCGGTGGCTGTCGGACCAAGCCGCGGGAAAGGGCACTGAGACCGAGCCGCTGCAGCGTGTCTACTATGGCACACTGGCTCCCCGTATGAAAGTTGTAAAGTTCTTCTCGTTGAGCACCAGCCTGGCCGGCATTGCCGCCCAGCCGATTCTGCTCGAGCAAGGCATGAAAATTGGCGGCACCGGCATGGCTGTGTTCCTGTGCACCATTGGCGGTTTCTTCACGTTCGTGACGCCGCTGCTGTTGCATTTCATCACGAAGAAATATGTTACAGAGCTGCACTATAATCCCACTACCGAGGAGTATACCGCCACAACGATTTCCCTGCTGCTGCAAAAGATCAAGGTGAGTTTTTGGGTCCTCTCAAAGCTCAGTCTCCATTTATCCCCATTGCAGACCAAGTTCCGACCCAGCGATGTGACTGTACCCGAAGTGCCTGGCATGTTCACCTCGTTTCTGGTGCACAAGCGGCCGCTGTTCATCGATCCGGCATTGTTCGAGGACCCCGAGCACTATGTGCGTATCATGGGCTACGACAAGCCAATCGACTTCAAGCTGGACCAGCAGCCACCGAAGAGCCCCAGCCCCAAACAGCAATAAGACCCGTCCCCCAACGGCAAAAAGTACAAAGAAACGTTTATTACAAAAGTAAAGAAGTGAAGTCCTTTCATAAGGATATATCATAGATATGTCCGATAAAAACTAAGTGCACTTGTCTCCAGCATGCTCCTGCCCTGCGAGATTAACCCAAAATGAAATAATGGTAAAAAGGTTGGCAGGGCCAGGCCCCGTGTCCCGCCGTCTCTGCCAACTCATTCGTAACTTATACCGAATAAGAATTCCATTTGTTCTGGGGTCATGCGATCGCGATCGCGGCACTTGATGAGGGTGCGAGTGATGCGTCTGAACTTTCCCAAATAGGCGGACAACTGATTGTCGCAAAGCGTTTCGAAGAGCTGCAGTTTGGGCACCAAGTAAAATGGCAAATGCCTTTTAGTAAGGCACCAAATCATGCGCACGCACATCTGAATGGGGACAATACATATACATACACATATAGCTAAGCCACCACCAGTAATACTAGAATAGAACACTTACGCGGATAAGCAGACGTCCGGGCGATTGGTTCCATGTGGTGAAGCGCCACTCGGTGCAGTTCAGGAAGACGCTCTTGATCATGTAGTTGATCAGTGAATTCGTGTGTTGGGCACTGCGTGTGCGCATGCATGAGGCGCATGGTGTCCTTTAGGTTCTGCTTCTTTTGCCATGAAGGTGAGTGGATCTTTTGGAGCATTCTTGCCACGAATGGCACGGGGAATGGCGAACCAGGTGCGCTGCTGATGCTTATGCTGGGTCAATCCTTGTGGCCATTCGTGGGCCTGGAACTCAAACGCTGGCACAAAGTCAAAGTAGATTCTGCGCTTCCGGTCGCCGCGACACGCGGCCATTATGGTGTGAGCCACGCCGTAGCCGTGGCCCATGTACTTCAGTGCATATGTGCGGTGGTCTCCGCAGCGAATGTTTTGCAGCTCCTCCATTATCGCGCCTATATTCTGGCGGAACCAGGCCTGCAGCTTGTTGCGGTTAATGTAGTCAATGCCCGATCGAGCAGGTGGGCAGGCGCATTTATTCCCGTTACGCGCAGATATATGTAGCCTGGGTAGCCTGCCACGGGGACTGGTTTCAAGTTGCAGTCGAACTCAATTTTTGTCAACATATCCATCCATTGTCAACTGGATCCATCCAGATTGCTGCCCGTCAAGCTGAGGCCTCTGAACGCCTGCGCGAATGTGCGATCGTAGCGTGAAATGGCGCGAATAAATGAATTCTCAATGATTTCGGCGTCTTTATTGAAGCTTTGGCGCTGGGAAGACGGAATTGAAATGTTCTTCAGAACAAATTCGATTCCCTCGCCGAAGGTGAAGTCGTATGAACTCATTGTCGTATTGAACTCAAAATAGACGCCGGCGGACTTGTTCTTTGCGGGAAGAACTCAATTACAAGAGGAATTTATCGACGACGCAGTAACATTAACGGTCCAGTGTGACCGTGGATTTATCGATCAAATATACCGCACGTCTCTCAATCATATACCGAAATATACCTTCTATCTACATTCTCGTTGAAATAGATCTCCAACACAGAGTGACTTGTTTTTGCATTGATTGGCTGCTGAGATTTCCCACATTCCCTCTATTCAAGGATATCTTTTTACCATGGGTACTGCACTGGTCACTCTGCGCACTGTTTTGACCACTCTCTCTAGATTACTCACCTTGCTTATTTCTGCGATATATCTATATATTAATGTAAGTATCGTGTAGAAATGACGTGTAGTTGCCATGTAGCAAAACCAATTCAAGTTTGTGGAAATTTGGTAAACAAATGGACGATTTGAAAATAATATTAGAATTCAGGTAATATTTATGTTGCTGTGGTCAGTGCAACTGTATGACAACTTCTATTTACCCTCAGCGCCGGGGCGGAGCTTTTATTTGGCAACATCAAGCGCCGGCAGCTCTCCCTCGACGGCAATCAAAAATGTGAGCATGCAGCTTCATAGATGCGGTCTTGGAAGTGTCCTAAAATGTGCTTATCTATTCCAGGGACAATTGCCAATCTGCTGAAGTGGATGCATGCCAACATATTGACGGAGCGACCCGAACTCTTCCTGCAAGGCGACACTGTGTGAGTGGCGAGGGCGAGTGTCCGCCAATATTTCCCTATAATGGATTGTGTTGTTCCTCCTTTTAGACGACCGGGCATTTTGGTTCTGATCAATGACACTGACTGGGAGCTCCTGGTGAGTTTGAGCCATCACATTTTGTGTGATGCGGGATTGAGCTTTGCTATTTTCAGGGCGAACTGGATTACGAGCTGCAAGCAAACGACAATGTGCTCTTCATATCGACGCTGCACGGCGGCTAACAGACTTTCATCCCAACGCAGTTGATTATTAATAGGCCAAAAGTATGTTTTTTTTTTTCATATAAATACAAAAAAATAAATGAAAATAGAAACAAAACTAAATCAGAATTACGTCCCTTTACCAAAATTGGCAAAGGCCCACACGATGGTTCGGGTAGTAAAGTCTTCTTCATCTTAAGTTCATGTAGAGTCGCTGCTCGCGTATTTATGTGTGAGTGTCAGCAAATAATCACTTGGGAATTTTAAGAACATCCGCTTGCGAGCGGCGTTTTTTTACACTTGAAGCAACGTTTATTGAATTTAAGTTTCTGCTTACTGCATTTAGTTTATAATAATATAATTATGAATATGTTTTCGTTTAAGTTACTCTAATGGTAGGCACTTAGTTTTACATTACACACTAACTGTACGTAATGATCATCTCTCTCTCTCTCTGTTCGTCGATATCGATTTGTGGGGGTGGGGGCACTACACCCCGCCGCTCCCGTTATCTGATTCTGTTTATGTTTGTGAATGTGTGTGTGCAAATGCGTTCGATTGCATTGGTGAATATCTAAGGCTATGAAATATATATATTTCGATATTGACACATTGAATTCAATAATTTCAATTAGTTTCCGAAAAGAGAATAAAGAATGCGCATCTCTGAGGGCAAATCAAATCAAATGAAATCAAATCAAATTCGGAATAGGGATTAATTATGACAAATTAACACAACTAAAATGTAATAATGTAATAAATAATAAATAACAAAAATAATGAAGTAAAAAATAATAATAATAATGATGAATGGTACCGTACGTATCGTATCGTATGTTATATCTGGATGCGATGAAACCTTTCTTTTGCTAAAGCTTTAAATCGTCCAGGGCCTGGCCTGGCCGAGAACCTATTTACTGCTCTCCGGGGCAGCGGACTCGGCCGCATGCGCATACGACTTGTAGCGCCGCAGTACCACCGTCGAGGCGCTCGCCGTGGATGCCGTTGCCGATGCGGTGGATGTTGACCAACTGCCCCTGTTGCCGATGCCGGCCAACTGCTCGGCCGCGTGCTCCTGGTCCGGTGGGACGCACATGTCTGAGACAATGCCGCTCTCTGGAAAGTGTAAGTTCATATTGGATCATTCAATCGAAATGCGGGGACGGACACACACAAACAGCATGCAGCACGGAGCAGGAGATTGGTGGTCGGAGGATGCGGGATGCGGAAATACACAGGTTAGGTGTGGGTCTGTATGTGGTTTGGTGTGGGGTTTATATACAGTTTTGTGTGTCTAGTAATACTGAAGGACTTCAAGTTATATACAAAGTGGGAAACAACAACAACTAAAAGCAAACAGGATGAACGCTTAGAAGAAATAGCACAATTCAAGCTCAATACCCATGGACAGCTGGCTGACGATTGTCGTCGATCGCTTGGGATAACGTTTGCTTCCGTGTGTTCCGTGCTGTTCGTTGCTTCTGCCCTCGGAAGCGGGCTCTTCGCTCTTGTGACTGCCACTGCCGCAGCCCTTGCTCAACTTTAGTGCTTGCGTCTCATTAATCAGTTCAAGCGTGGCATTGCTGTGGCTGCTGCTGCTGTTGCTGTTGCTGTTGCTGTGGCTTCCCGGCAGCTTGCCAAAGTGCAGACTGTGCCGTCCGCTCTCGTGCGCCCCATGGCCCGACGATGAACCACCGCTGATGGAGGAGCCGCTGGTGGTGCTAGTGCCGCTGGACAGCGAGCTCTCCGATATCAGTGAGTTGGGACGCCGCATGCTGCCCTTGCCGGGCTCCGTGTGCCGCAACTTGGGTGCTGTTGGGTGCAAAAAGAGTTAACCAAACGATTCCACATTGAGATTCCATGCTCCTGGCTACTCACTCTTGTTCAGCTGTGCCAGAGGTATGGAGCGATCGCTGATCTGATTGTTGCTCGGACGTATATCCAGGCAGGGTTTGCTGCCAATGCCCATCGAAGACATCTCCGCCAGACGAATTTCTGTGCAGGCAAAACGCAAACACATTAGAGATGATTAGAGCTGGGTCTACGGCTAATGCTTACCTCTGTTTCGTTTCGCCTGCTTCCAGAGCAGCTTGGAGATCTCCTCGGTCCAGGCGTTCTTGATATCCTCCGACATGCACTGCAGCATATAGGTGTCGTCCGGCTTTCGCTTCCTGAACCAAATCTCGAATTTGGTTGCCGAGTCTCCCGTGTGCGCCGTCAGGCCAATATCCGAAGTCTTGATGCTGTTCTTGTAGATGTAAATGTCCAGATTCTGGGCGCGAAATATAAGTCAAAACTCAATCTATTGTTTCTATTGTAGCTCAGCCTCAGACTTACTTTGTGATCTGGGAAACGACGCGCCTTGCTGAACAGCACCAGCTCCTCGAAGAGGAATACCTGGCGCAGCGTCTTCTTGCCACCGCGTCCCTGCCACACGAGGAACTCGTTCTGGCGCAGCAGTCGGCCCTGCTCCTTGACATTCACGTCACAGTCGCGCAGCGAATCCATGGCCAGCAGATCGTTGCCATGGCGCAGCTGAAACTTGACCATTTCCTCGGCACGCTGCAGCTCCTCCACATCGGCGGCAATCTCCTGCAGTGCCGCGCCCTCCACGCTGCGGCAGGCCTTCACCAGCTGCTGCAGCAGCAGCGCGTACTTGCCCATGCGCTGCACCGGCTTCAGCAGATACGAGGCCAGATCCAGCTTGTCCTGCAGCTGCAGCTGCTTGGGCTTGAAGAACGAGCTGCCGTACTCGCTCAGCAGCGTGTCGCTCTTGGGCTTGTTCTTGTTGTACAGCGCGTACAGATAGAACTTCGACTCCATCTCCAGGAAGGCAGCGCCCACTTTGAGCGGATTGCGCTCGTACCGCTCCAGTTCGCCGAGGAAGTGCGAGTTGTGGAACTCGAAGATCTTTTCGATGTTGCCAAAGATCACGTTCCGCTGGCCACGCAGTGGCTGTGGTATATCCTCGCGCAGCAGCTCGTCAATGTAGTTCTCGATCACGTAGTACAGGGAGCGCACGTAATCGCGTTCGGTACCAATCATTTCGCGCATGATCAATAGAAGCGTTCTGCGGGGAAGAGCAGGAGGTTAATCAGTGTCAGTCGCTCCTGGGACTGTGTTTCCTTCTTACTTTTGTATTTTGGGATCCAGGCAGCTGAGCTCCTCCAGCTTGGGCAGCTCCAGACTGGAGCCATGGCACTGCAAGTGGGCATTCGCCTCCATGGGCGAGTGCATGTCCATGTAGCGCTTCGATGGATGCTCAAAGCACTCATCCTCGAGCAGCTCGTCGTGACTGCAAAAAGCGCAAAGGATGAGCAAGGGAACAGACAACAGGCGGCAGGGCACTCACCTCTTCTCGTTGAGACTCTGGCAGGAGCAGATGCGTGCCAGCTTTGGATTGCGCTCACAATTGTCGCAGACACCCACTCCAGAGTCGGCAATCTTCGACTGTTGCTCCTCGCCATCGGCGTCGTTGTCGTTGTCGTTGTCGCAATCGTTGTCCTGCTCCTCCTCATCCGGCTCGTCCATGTCCTCCAGGTGTCGGCTCTCGCGCCAGCAGCTGCAGCTGCCGCCGGGCATGCCCTCAAAGGAGCTGCCGCTGCCCGAACTGCAGCGATAGCTGCCACGCTTGCCAGTCGTCGCCGCTGGCGTGCTACTCGCTGCCGGCAGCGTGTTGCTCTTCCTCATGGCCGGCCAGTGCTTCTCCAGCAGCGGCGTGGCGCCCAGCTGCTCGGCCAGGCGCTGCAGCTCCTCGTGAGCGGCCACCTCGCGCTGATGCTGGGTGAGCAGATGCAGCAGTCGGGCGGCAGCCTCGAAACGCTCGTGGGTGAGCTCCAGCTTCTGGGCAAACTGATCCAAGGCGGTCTTCAGGCTGGCAGCGCTCTCGCTCAGCACGGACACCTTGATGGCCGCTGCATGCAGGTCGCGCCCCTTGGCCAGATGTTTCTGTGGAATACGAGAGATTCTTGTGGGTTAGTTGACTCGCTTTCAACATCCTGCTGCTGCCACTTACCATTGCTATGAAGTAATACTTCTCAAACTCCTGCTCCTGGGCCTTCAGCTGGGTCTCGTTCTCCCACTGAAGCTGCGAGAACTTTTGCAAATTC